GGGGAGGGGAGGGAGGGGGAGGGGGAGGGAGGGGAAGGAAGGGGGAGGGGAGGGGCAGTCTTCCAGCTGCACGTGGTGCCAACAGCGTGGAGAGGCCCGAGTCTCTGTGTCAGTGTCCTGTGGCTACTGCACAAATGACCCACCTGGGGGCTTCAAACAACGGGATCCACTCTCTCACAGTCTGGAGGCCAGGAGTCCACACTCAAGGTGTTGTAGGGCCCCACGCCCTCTGGAGGTGCCGGGGAAGACTCCTTCCTGCCTCTTCTGGCCTCCTGGGGTTCCAGGTGCTCCAGGGCTCGTGGCCACATCCCTCCAATCACTGCCTCTGCCGTCACGTGGCTTGTCCCTGTGTGGCTGTGTCCAAACACCCCTCTTCTTGTGAGGACACCGGTGATGCTGGATTCAGGGCCCACCCTGACCTAGTACGGCATCATCTTAACTTGATTCTAGCTGCAAAGACCCTATTTCCAAACAACGTCACACTCACAGGTTCCCAGGGGACACTGTTCAGCCACCCAATATCCTCAAAGCTTGGTCTCTGCTGGACTTCCATTCCCCACAGGAGAGCTGAGATGGCACCCCTTCGCCGGCCCCACTCATCCTCGGATCCCGGCACCCCCGAGGCTCTGGGGACACCATGGGGGCAGAGTGCAGGCTCGCCTACCCAGGAAGGCACACAGTACCCTAGCTCCACAAGTCCCACTGAGGGGGCGGGGATGGCAGGAAAACGCAGGCAGGCGACGGGCAGGGAGAGTCCAGAGGGCTTCTCTGCGGAGGGGGCCCCGGAGGAGAGCCCAAGGGTTGGCAGCAGTGGAGACACGGGGACAGAGGCAGAGCCGGTGTGGCTGCACGCAGGGCAGCAGCAGAGGAGGGCGCTGGGGTCGGGAACAGTGGGGACCTCAAGGGAGTGACGAGGTTCGCTATGCATGCTGGGAGAGGGTGGCTGTCCAGGGGAGAAGTGGCGGCCAGGATGGGTGCTTGGCCACAGGCTGCTGTCTCTGCCACGCCGGGTCACCCCAGCTCTGTTCTCGGTGGAAGGGTCCCCGGCTGCCCCGTGGCTTTCAGGCTCTTAAAGTGGAGGCTGGAGGCCGAGCTGGCCCTTGGCTTTAGCCCGCTGACCGTGGCAGGTCCCAGCCATGGATGCCCACCCCTCTGCAGCCGTGACGAGGGTCCCTGAGGAGGCCAAGGGTGCCCTAACTCCCACACCGGTGAGTGGGCCCTGCGCGCACTCTGCTGCCCGACGGACCCTGCGATGTTTCCCAGGCAGCTGTTTCAATCCAGCCTGTCTGCCTGGCGCTTTGCGTGCCCACGAATGCGCTGCCCGGCTCCAGGCAGGCTTGCCCTCTTGGCACCCACAGGCCAGCAGGTGTGGCTGCGTCAGAAGGCCGGGCTCCAGGGAGGGGGTGGCCCAGCCCTTGAGGCCATCCTGGCCGGCATGGGCACCGACAGGGCACCCACACGGAGCACGTGCCCCCGGCGCCCTGTTCCACTTGGAAATTGGAGGCTGCGGTGCTCCCTGGGGCTGGTCGTGCCCGCCGGTCTCAGGCCCTGCCCTGCCCGCCTGTGCCATCTTGGCTGCCCCGATGGCAGAGCTGGCCCCAAAGGAGGGTGTGGGGAAGCCAAGTGGGGCTCGGACCTCGCCAGCCGGCCCTGGGCCGGGGTCCAGCTGACAGGTCTTGCCCGGCTGGCCCACCGTGGAGTAGAGGCATCGGCACCAGTCGGTCAGCGGCAAACTCCGCTCCGTTGCAGGGGAGGACAGAGCACAGTCACCCTGGCTCTAAGGACACCAGGAGCCCAGAGGTATCGGAAGGTGCTGGGGAGGGCTGGGCCCCCGACCAGCTGGCCACAGATGTTACCCTGATTCTGGGAGGTGAGGGCGTACCTGGCTCTCCATCGTGGACAAAGCCAGAGAGCGCGGAGGGAGGTGGCCTCACAGCTGGTGGGGCCGCCACCCCTGCCCACTGGCGCCCTTTCTGCTTCGCTGGAGGGCTGCCTCCTCCACAACGTGAAATATTCTCTGTAAACATAAACTTGGCTTGTAAAAATCTTGTCCCGCAGTGCCAGCCTCAGTCCTGATCAGAAATTATTCTCCAGTCAAGCCCGCGGCCTGTCACTGCAGCAGGTGGCTCAGAAAACAGGAGCCTTTTAATCAAGCTCAACTTTTAAACTTCCTCCAGCCCCCCCCTCCCCCTCACCGCCACCGCGTCTTGCTGATAACGCCAGGACAGCTGGGACAAGGTGGGTCCCCGTCCACCTCCAAAAGGTCCTCGTGCGGGCTGGGCAGGCGGCGGGCAGCTGTCGGGAAAGCGGCAGCCAAGGGGACGGGGCTCCTGCCGGGTGCCAGCACCTGCCTCGAGCAGGCATACGGGTCACCCTGGCTCTGTTCTCGGTGGAAGTGTCCCCGGCTGTAGGTCTCAGTGGCGATGGGGGAGTTAATCCCCAGCAGCCGGATGAAACCAGAGAGGAGAAGCCCCCAGGAGACAGCTTTGACATGTCGCTCTGGCTCTTCCATCCCCAGAGCATGGATCCCGAGGGCCTCTGTTCTGCCTGGCCTGGGGTCTAGATCCCATGCACCCCCCAGCAGCCCAGGGTAAATGAGGCCCGTTGGCGTGGTTAAGGCCAAAGGAGCATGAGTGCCCCCCACCCCCTGTGCTGAAGGCCAGAGCCAGGCTCAGCCAGGCCCTGACAGCCACCGGGGCCTGCACCTCCTCGGGGCACCTGGGTCCACCTGAGACCCTCCCTGCTCCTGCCTCAAGCTGCCTGTCTTGGGCTGGGGAGTCGGCTGTGTGAGGTCTCTACAGTCAGAGGCCAGGACGCTGAAGACCCCAGGGCTCAGTTCCCAGAGCCCTGCGGGGGAGGAGCAGCTGCTCACACAGATGTCCCCGTGCGGCTTCCCAGAACGGCCCGAGAGTGGGGCACGCTGTCTGCCTGGCATTCCTCCTGGAAGTCCCCACGGCTGGCGCTCAGAGGCGCGGTGACACTTCCAGGAGAGGCTCTGAAGCAGCGGAGGCTGAAGCCAGAGCCAGTGGTACCGTGTCTGGGAACCCCCCACCACCCAGCTCGTCCTGCACACCTCAGTCCCATCCTGGGGCCCCCAGGGCACAAACTCTGCACCGGCAGGAGTGGCCGAGGGTGCCTGGGCGTCTGCTGCCACCACGTGGCGGATTGCAAGGTCACTGGACGAGAGTGCCTGGCGCCCGGGGTGTCACAGAAGCCCCCCTCAAAGGCCCTCCACGTCCAGGCCCCCGCCCCTGGCCCAGGACTCCGGGCGCTGCACTTGGTCGTCTCACATTGCTTTTTATTTATTTACTTATTTGGCTGCACCGGGTCTTAGTTGCGGCACGTGGGCTCTAGGTCCCTGACCAGGGATCGAACCCAGGCCCCGCCCCACCCCCCATCCCCCCATC